GACAGGGAGGCTGTGGAGACATTTAAAAACAGAGCAGTCGGGAACAGAGATGGACTGAAGTGGAAAGTGATGAGCTCCACACTGGCATCTGATGCTCGGAAGAGGGCAGACATTCCCAAAGAAAGCTACACCAGTCAGAGGAAACTGGTCTCCTTGCAGACTGGCATGGAAGTCAGAGATGGAGATGCAGAGATTTTTAGTCTCACTGGGGTGCCTTGAGAGAGAGGACTGCCAAGAGAGAAAATGTTCCGTAGGGAGAAGACACGGATTTGACTCTGTGGGAAGCACGGAACTGACTGTGGAACAGTCGCCTCTTGTGCTATGTCCGGGGTGTGTGTGTGTGTGTGTGTGTGTGTGTGTGTACGGGTGGTGAGGTGGGGGGTCAAAAAACCTAAGGAAAAAATCTCTCAACAACAGTCACATTATCTCTCAAGACACACTGCACTGAATATCTAAGAAAAATGTTGGTTTTTCAAAAACAATAAACTGCTTTCATCTTTTAAAGTGTTCTTTTTTTTTTTTTTTGGTTTTTCGAGACAGGGTTTCTCTGTAGTTTTGGACCTTGGTCTGGAACTAGCTCATGTAGACCAGGCTGGCCTCGAACTCACAGAGATCCTCCTGCCTCTGCTTCCTGAGTGCTGGGATTAAAGGCATGTGCCACCACGGCCCGGGTTTTAAAGTGTTCTTAAATCACAGTGTGTAAGTGTGTAAGTGTGTGTGTGTGTGTGTGTGTGTGTGTGTGAAGGCACCACAGGTCAGGCCAAAGGACAACCCTGGGTTTCTTCTTTCTATTACTAGGTCCTGGAGCCTTAACATGCTGAGCCATCTTACTGGCCCTGCTTGCATATTCTTTACCTATTCAGCTCAAAATACCCCAGTGGGGGAAAAAAAAAGTATCATCTGTCCCTACTTTGCAAACATTAAGAAGATAAAAGAAAGCCGGATGGTGGTGGTGCACACCTTTAATCCCAGTACTTGGGAAGCAGAAGCAGGCGGATCTCTATGAGTTGGAGGCCAATCTGGCCTGTTAAGAGCTAGCTAGCTCCAGGACAGGCTCCAAAACTACGGAGAAAACAGGGCTATATGCAGACAATATCCCCATATCTTCTAACATGGGAACAGGGCTTCACAAGCAAGCATCTAAATTTAGCCCCAAGAGCCTTCCTTTTCAAAACCTCTACTTGCAAGCTAAGACTTGTTGAATTATGGCAAAGTCTTTAAGCCTCAGAGAACCAATTTAAATGTCATTTTTATGGTCTCCAAAATATGCTTAATATACATTGTCTGAATAAGGCCTTAGAAAACATACAGAATTCATGCTCAAGTACATACAGGTTTGGGAAACCTCACAATTCTTTTCCAATTTTGAAAGTATCATTTAAATTAATTTCCCATGAGACAGTCTTAGAAAACCTATATGCAAGTACATATAAAATATGTAGGTTTTACCAATTTCCAGATGAGCTACCCACAATAATTAAGCTAATGTTTCCATTTAACTTTACATATTTCGGACACACTGTACCAAGAAGTAATTCAGCTCTTTTAAAGCAAAGCCTAATATGATTTATTGCAAGGATTACAAAATATTCTTTTCACCAAAATAGTTGGAAAATATAGATTCAATAAAACTTTTTTATTGCACATTCCAAGGGGCTAGAAATGAGAACATAGTATAGGTATGACATGAACCAAGATTTGAAGAATAACTACTACTTACATAGTATAATTAAGGGAAAAAATAAGCATTTATCATTGTAGTAACCAGGTGGACTATATACAATGACTCTAACTCATTCTTGAAGGAGGTGAAGAAGACTATTTCTTAAAGACCCTTTAAGAAAAAATACTTAAATGATACATGCATTCACTGCATTGGAATTTTTCGGATATTTCTGTAATTCAGAAAAACCATTCATTACCAAATACGGCTCCAAAGGCAGGGTTTTTTTCATATATTTTATTTAATGGTGCATTCTGACTAAATATCATTTCACAACCAAAAATAAATAAATAAAAAAGAACCACAAGCAATACAATTTTTACTTAGAATGATTAAGAATAAAGATTTGGAGACATATTTTCTCCCCCAGTAGAAAGTGCATTAATGACACAGTCCCATGAAGATCATTACCTATTATTAAAATGTAAGGCACTGAAGTCAGGTAAGCATTCCAAAAGAGAGCTTTCCTTCCTTAGGACAAGCTTCTGTACATAACCCCACACTGGTTGGGTTTTTTGTTTGTTTGTTTTTAAGGAGAGGGGAAAAAAGGAGATTTTAGAAAAAGCACAATTTGGCTTTCATTATCAGTCTTCAAGGAGTTGCTTCAAGTCTCATTTTCTAGAAGAAAAAAGTTATTTCTGTGCTATTCAGCATAATAGACCAAATGCTTAAATTATTCACCATCCATCAACTCTATGCAAATTTATTTAAATTTCATAATAATTTAATCTGCATACTGGGACTGCCAATCCCATGTCATGAAAACTTCATAATCTCCAGGCTATCTCACACTACCATATCTCTTGCCACGAAATGATGCCAATGTTCAAATGCAGAGAGTGAGTTACTCTATAATCACAAAAGCCAACGCTGAAAGGAATTTGGATAGGAAGCCCATTCCCTCCTTCAAGGTATAAACCATGGCATCTATTCTTAAAGCTCTTTGAGAAGCCATAACTGCTGCTATGATTCAACCACCCAGCAAAGGAACTTTCAGTCAATGAGGTAGTTGAGAATCGTGCAATTTTTGTCTCCCCAATGGACACCTGGCAATGTCTGGTGACTTACTTCATGGCTTGTCACAAATGAGTGAGGGACCACTGGCACTTTATTGGGTGGGTTTGCTGCTAAGCATTCCATCATGGACAACAAAGACACAGTCCAAATGTCAACAGTACAATAGCTGAAAAATAAAGTTTTATTGAAACTAAATATGCTATCCCTACTAACAGACTCAGTAGCTTTCCCCGGCCTGCTCTATGAAAACCATTTTTTATAGTTCTAACTAAAAATTTCTAACTTCAAAAGGCAAGCATGTGGCCACGACACCAGACACTGTAATTGCTGATGGCCAGCACACAAATTATGAAGGCACTAAATACACGTCAGCAGGAGCAGAAGCCATGCTCAGCACCTACTTTCCCCTTCACACCCAGAAGTCCCTGTAGATGGTCTCTGCATGCAAGTTTGACAGATCCTCTCAATGTCCACATACTCTGTCGTTTCCCACTATGGAGCTTTCTAGAGAATGCTGCAGATTTGCTGCTGGGCTTTTTCCCCCAGTACATGTATTAAAACTAACATGGAGCTAGTCAGAAGACAGTAAATAATCCAAGGCGCTTTCCACCCCGGCAACTGTGATCTAACAGACCCTGAAAGGTGTCTGAGTCATATCTAAATGTGAAAAGATAGCAGTATTCTGAATAGTCCCATGAATAAATAAGTAACCAATGTAAAATAATCATCAAAAGAAACTATGTGCACATGCATGTGAGCTACACAGATGCTGCAGAGAAAACAGGGAGCTAAAAAGGACTATCACTTCTTAGAAAGGTAGTTGAAACAAAAAAACGTGTAGATGCTAAAAAGCAGATTTTTCAGTTTTCACATCTTAGATAATTACAGAATTTTAAAGTTCATCATAGAGAAAAAACATACAAATTTTAATAAAAAGAAAATGTCAGGCTTTAGAAGCCTTACAGATCAATGTGGAATTGGTTGATAAATGACAGCCCATCCACATATCAGACAGCCATTAAACATCAAACTGAAGAACAGTTAAAGAAGACACACACTTACAACAGCATCATGGAAGACAAGCTATATCAATACATACAACATAGCAATTCTGTATAAAATGTAATACAGACGTGAATGCTTCTATAAATGCATTTCTACAAAGAAATGCAAGCAGACACACCATGAGGGGCTGGTGACAATCTGCTACAATGTTAACAATGGCTATCTGTGGAGGCGGAAGGTTATGCCTGGTTTCTATTCCTTCTTTGTGCTTTTCTATGTTTTCCAACTGTCTTACAATGAGACTACTTTGCTGTTTTGTGCTTACAGATCCAATACATTATTACAAAGTTGCCCCTTAGTATATTGAGCACTGTGTAAAAACACAAAACAAACCCAAATGAAGCCAGCTCTTCCATCAACAAACAGCAAACATTTGTTGAGCATTGCCATTCTATCCCTGGGTCTTGGAACTTTCCTAAATGCATCAACGGCCTAAAACAAATTTTAGATCCCTAAAATAATACCAAATGTAACCGGGTGTTGCTTCCAACAATGGGTTTGCAGCTCTATTCCCAGGGCTTGAAAGAAGGGGGACTTATAAAATGATCTATAAAGGTCTTCAAAGCTAAGCTGAAATTTCACATGGGAAAGATTTTTTTTTTTTTAATCGAGTAAGGTGTTTGTAAGAAAGCCTGGAAGGTAGCAGCTACATTCGGTCTCAAAAACAGAACTCTACAGAGAAGAAAACAACATAATGACTCTTAGTTCCTCCTTAATAGCTGGATGCAAACTTCCTATCCCTTTTTTAATACCACCGTGGGCAGAACGGATGAAACCGTAGTCTCTGCTATTGTAGATAAAAAGAACCATTGGTAAATTCCCTTTGCTGTAAAATGTTACCTTAAACAATAATCCCAAAGTAAACAAAAACTTTGAGATACATCTTAAGTCATGCTCTGGAGACATTTTGTTCCAGACAGAAACATTCCAGGGTCTTACTAAAGGGTTCTAAGGGCAAGGCATTGGGATTCAGCAAAAAGCAAGTGCACAGGTCAAATACACCCAAACCCTCAAAATATGAAACATGGGGGGTGGGAGGAACCCCATTTCTCCAGGTGCAAATTCTAACTGGTAGTAAAGGACAACTGGGCTTCCCGATTCTCTGTGGGATTGTTCCCAATGCTAAAGAGGTCCGACCCAATGGTACCAGGCCGTGGGCTGGTGCTTTACGCGTGGATCGTGGAAGAACACTGACCTGTTAGGTGAATTTCGTGTCTCACTTGTCATCCTCAGTCAGAGACATGATAGACCGATCTTTTGACTAACCGAAATCAGTCAAACGTATGTCAGTGCACACCTGTGACACACGCACATACGCACCAGTGGGTCCACGGGAAACATTCGGGGGTACCACGGCCAGGTTCACGCCAGACAGAAACTATACGGGAAAACACAAAGGCTCGAGGCACAGAACCAAGTCGGGGATGCAGATGCGCCCAGACACTCGGGCGGGACACAAAAGAGCAGAGCCGAGCGCACTGCCCCACCGATGGGGACCGCCCGGGGCCCACGTGCGGACCCCCGCCAACCCCGCAAGCCACGCACCCCGATTCCGCCGCGCTGCCACAAAGCGGACCCCAAACTTGGCCAGGGGGGACTCGAGAGCCGCAGAGAGGGAGCCGCGCGCCGCCGCCCGCAGGCGTCGGTCAGCTTTCGCCACCGGTCCCCAGCGGTTCCGTGGAAGCTCGGAGGGGGCGCGTCAGCCCGCCTCGCAGTCCCCTT